TCTGCTGCTCCTGCAACCTGCTCCCCTCCCCGGGGCGCTCCTCTGCCGCCCTGCAACCCGCTCTCCTCCCCCGGGGCCCTCCTCTGCCAGCCCCTGCAACCCGCTCTCCTCCCCGGGGTCCTCCTCTGCCGCCCTGCAACCTGCTCTCCTCCCCGGGGCGCTCCTCTCCCGCCCGCCCGGGGAGTCTGGAGCCTGCTGGCCTCCCTGCCTTTGCCGCTCCTCCTACACCGGGCTTGTAAAAGCCTTTGAAATGTGGTGGGAACGAGCTGTAAGAGGTTAATGCATTAATTCGTTTCATGATTATTCCCTTCTCCCTTTCTGTGGTTTTAGGTACGGGCCTTTCAACATGCCTTCAGCACCAATGACTGCTCCAGGAATGTGTACATCAAGAAGAATGGATTCACGTTGCACCGGAACCCTATTGCTCAGAGCACAGATGGGGCAAGGACGAAGATTGGTTTCAGCGAGGGTCGTCATGCCTGGGAAGTTTGGTGGGAGGGCCCTCTTGGCACGGTCGCTGTAATTGGAATTGCCACAAAACGGGCTCCCATGCAGTGCCAAGGCTATGTAGCGCTTCTGGGCAGCGATGACCAGAGTTGGGGATGGAATCTGGTGGACAATAATTTGCTACATAATGGAGAAGTAAATGGGAGCTTCCCACAGTGCAATAATGCACCAAAATATCAGGTAAGTGAGATGAAGCACCAGCTAGAGGTTCTGCTGCATCTGTGGCAACTGTCCTGCAAGAATTGTGGGACCAGGACAAAACTTCATTGCCCAATAAGCCTTAACACTGTTCTTTAATATGGCCCTTTTCTGTTGTAAGCATGTCTGTCTCCTAAACCTGGCTCACGTAGCTATGTATGCAATGCTTACCTGTTGAGGGGCAAAATTTACCTTCTTCTCTTTTTTCTGATTTACTAATTTTTTAGATTACGTTCCTGTTTGGTGTACAGATTCAGGTTCCAGCATTGTCTCCTCCAGTTAGAATAAAAATAATCGTGTACCATTCTTATAATTTCAAATCTTATGTGAAATTATCCTACATTCATGCAGCTACCTCTTTTAAAAAAAATAAGAAGTACCAGAGCATTCTGTATGCTTTAAACAAGGATTTGTCCCTCAATATCAGGGCTGTTTGATAAGCATTATGTCATTTGTAAGTGTGTTGTACATCGTATTGTAAGTGTGTTGGGTCTAGTTGATAATCGGGTAGGAATTCTCCAAGGAAATTCTGAGTGATGCTGACGCGATGTTTATTCAATAACTGGTATTCTTAGAGGTGACATCTTTTGGATTAAACATAACATTAAAGTTCAGATAAGGTGCCTTAATTAAAGGGTGCATGGCTTTTTTCCCCCTCCAAATCAGTGGTTTCGCTTTGGCCAATTCCACTTTTGGACAACTATATTCTGCCTACTAGATTTTTTGACAGCACAGCTTCAATTGAATACACTAATACTTCCTGACTTACACTGTTATGTAGAGTTTTTGTGTGATCCACTTCAGATGTGGCTGCATTTCAGTGGGTGAACATTGTTTAATGCAGGGGTGAAGAACCTAAAACCCAGGGACCAGATGCAGTCCCTGGCTTGCCTGGATCCGGCCCCTGAGGCTCACGGGCCCCCCCAGCACTGGGGAGCCTGCACTGGTGCTCCAGCCTCCCTACCCTCCCATGAGGCTTGAGCACATAAAATCTAAAAGCCTGGGCTCCCCTAAGCTTGGTGTGCGAGGGGAATGTAGGGGAGTGTCTTTCTCCCTCTCAGTTAGGAGCCACATAAGGGAGGGTTTGGGTTTTTTGTGGTTTTGCTTCTCACTTGTGTGCAGCTCCCAACTGATCTTTCTGTGGATCAATGGCCCCGACTCAAAAAAGTTTCCTCATTCCTGGTTTAATGTATATGATACAGCCGGTCCCCGAGTTACGAACGCGTCGACTTACGACCGTTTGTATTTACAGCCAACCTCCTATACAGCCGGTCCCCGAGTTACAAACGAAATCCGCACTTACAAACCGCACGGCTGTACGTCAGTGAATATAATCCTACTTACGAACAGATCGAGTTACGACCTTGTGTTTGGTACGTAACTTGTTTATAAGTTGGGGACCGGCTGTATTCCTAAATCCCCACTCTAAAGTTCGCTGTCCAGGTGGTATAGCAAACATTATCTGTGTAATGGTACTTACTTTTCAAAAATTGCACTTTTCTCTGAAACATTAACCTATGATTTTTATGAGCAGACATGAGATTATTGGAATTTAGAGATCAGAGAGACTGTCTTCCTATAGCTGAGTTTGTATATTTGACAGCATTGTGTGTAGTCACTCTACTGATTGATTTTTTTTTTTGTGATCCATTCCCCTTGTTTGGATCTTTCAAACTCTAATGGGAAAGGAGGGTGGGAAGAACTTGAAACCGCAGAACTGTCATGGAGACTCAAAGATATGGTGTAGACAAAACTGCTTTGACATTAACTTTTAAACTGACTTGATTTCAAGTTGATGTCTCTTTAAAGAACGCTCGGATTGAGTAAAGCATGTAACTTGATCTTTTCTTTTATAAAATAAAGACTAAAAAGAATAAATTCTTAAGTGCCATTTTTGAGGTTCAGGGTGACTCCATTTGAGGGTGGATTGATGCTTCCACAATATAGAAGCTTGTGCAGTGCCATGGTACTCCTTGCTCTTAGGAGCTGTGACTTATCTAAATTTCAAATCATGCTCTAGGTAAATGAGCTGGCATGCAATACAATGTTTATTTGCTGATCTGTGATTCTCTCAGCGCATTCAGTGTTCACTGCTCTAGAAATGTCTTTTCGAGAGGTGGGGGGGAGGGCAAATGGGAAAAGCATACACATAGTTTTGAACTTTCCTGCTCTACTGGTAAATTGAATCATAGAATCATAGAATACTAGGACTGGAGGGGACCTCGAGAGATCGAGTCCAGTCCCCTGCCCTCATGGCAGGACTAAATACTGTCTGGACCCTCCCTGACAGACATTTATCTAACCTACTCGTAAATATCTCCACAGATGGAAATTCCACAACCTCCCTGGGCAATTTATCCCAGTGTTTGACCACTCTGACCGTTAGGAACTTTTTCCTAATGTCCAACCTAAACCTCCCTTGCTGCAGTTTAAGCCCATTGCTTCTTGTTCTATAATAAATAAATAAAAGTGTAATGCTGATGCTCAGAGTGCACACTTGGCCAAAAAAGTTTTTTAGTGCACCTGGCATACAGCCCTTGCTTCTTAAAACCAGTTCTGTGGCTTTAAAATCTCTGTATAAAGGCTTTGCATATTTATCATAATAAAAGCTATCTTCAGAGTCATGGGAAATACAGGGTGGAGATGATTGCAAAAATTGCCACATGCTGCAGAACACTGAAGTAGATGCAATGCAGTGTAATAATTGTTATTAGCAGAACAGTCACATGTGAAGGGCCCATGCATGGTGCATGTAGCATTGTGATGGTTACAGGAAAACACTGTTAATCTGATATTTTCTGTGTAGCTATAGAGAAACTTACTGTGCATCAGTGAAACTGACACTCCCCCAGAAAAATTAGTTCATTTATATTGAGAAACAGAAAAATGCCCTTCTTGTAGGGTCTCCTCTTCTATTCTCTGTGCTATTTTTGTTTTCTTTCCTTTTAATTGTTCTCCCTTTGAGTATTTCCTGACTCTTTCTTCTTCCTATCTCTGTTTGCAGATAGGTGAGAGAATTCGAGTCATCTTGGACATGGAAGACAAGACATTAGCATTTGAGCGGGGTTATGAGTTCTTGGGAGTTGCTTTCAGAGGATTGCCAAAGGCCTGCCTATATCCAGCAGTGTCTGCTGTGTATGGCAACACAGAGGTGACTTTGGTCTATTTGGGAAAACCTCTGGATGGATGACATTGTTTCATTGGGACATCAAGATGTGGAAGATCTGGAGAAGCAATCTGCATGTTAACTAGAGGGAAACATGAACTTGAAATGAAGTGTGCGTGTGTATTCATGAAACATCCTGGAAAACAAAGAATTGTGATTTGGAGAACCAGCCATACTGCAGAAATTGTTACATTTCCTTTTTCTATCAAGCCAGAAATATCCTCAGGGTTGGAGTTGGTTGAGTGGGCAGTTCACACATGCATGTTGCAACAGTTTTCATTGCTGAAATGGCTGTATGAGATTTCAGTTACTAAGGAAAGGTTTTATAGACGTGCTTGAGGAAATTAACCTGAAATTTGTTGGTAGCGTTTTTTGTGAAAGACTCCCATTTTAAAACTGTGTTCCTTCCTGCCTGCCTGTCTTCCTTCCTGGTTGGCCAGTGTGGCTACCGGAGGAGAAGGATTGGCTGAGTTTTATTTATATTTTTTAACATACTGAGAAGCATGGTCTGCCTGGACTGCACTTCTCATATACAATGAGATATAAAATGTGTGCAGCTATTTTTAAATGTATTTTAAAGCTTGTATATATAGAACATGTAAAAAACATCCTGTTAAATAAGGTTGAATTTGTTCTAAACTGGGATATAATTTCTTAAAGGAGAAACCACTACGTGGAATTAGAACATCCTCTGTTGGGAGATAGCATACTTGCAAGTGTTGTAAAGTGTCTTGAGGTGCTTTTGTGGAAGAAGATGGGTTCATAGGTTCATTTGGATGTGATACAAAGTTTCCCTGGTTAGAGCAATTGTTTTTCTGTGATAAAAAGAAGCCCCCCCATGAGTTATATTTTGCCATAAATTCTGATTCCATATTGACAAAGGAATGCAAACCCATTTGCATCTTCTTGACACAGAAAAACCAATTAATCTCTAACAAATCATAAAATGTATAATATTGTAAAATGAGTCTTTCAAAGTCATATGAAAAACAGGGTTGAAAGTCATGGCTCTAGATTTTATTTTTCCGTTAAAATGTTTTAAGGATTTAAGGTTTCCTTTGGTTTGGCTTGGGTTTGGGTTTGTTTTGTTTTTTAATAATGGCCCAGATATCCAGATGCATGATCTGTCCACCTACAGCCAAGAATAGTACAATTCTCACCTGCCTCTGACAGGAATTCTGGATCAGGTCTAGTGTGCGGGGTTTTCACCCTTTTCATTTTTCTAAAAACTACTATTCACAAACTTGTCAGAATTACAGTACTCATGGAATCTGAGAAGGCTGTGAGACCAATTACTTGTGTCCCATGAAGAACATGTCGGTGCTGTGCCAGCAGCTTTCCACGAAGGCTGAAAGCTAAGCAATGATCTAAAAAACTGCCAGCCTATATGATGAAAAATGCCAAGTTAGTCTTCAACCTGGCAGTAATGTCTTAATCTCTAAGCCTTGAGGCCCTCCTTTGGTGCTGAAATTTTATTTCTTATTTTTTTGTTTCTCCAAGGTACACAGAGCTATCCTAACAGTTTCAGGACTGCTGGCAAAATGCTTCAATGGAGGGAGAAGGGAAACATTTGTACAGACCCTTCATTTGTCTCCTAAAGAATCTGAATAATTTAATCTCAGACATATTTTTGAGTTCTCTGTGTTTGGGCTTGAGAGGAAATTCTTAACTTATTGATTTAACTTTTTCCTGTATTCTGATAAAGCCAGGGGAAATGGTACAGGTAGCTGTCTGGAACAATTAGAGTGCTCCTTAGAACTAAGTTTGGAAAACTTTTTACATAACAGAGTTCTGCCCTGAAACAGACTCTTTATGTTGTTGCCACTTGAAGGGTTTTAAAATATTTATTTGTTTTATGTATAGTATGTTACTTAAAGGGAATATATGTTGAGGTTTGCTTATCCTATTTGCAAAAAAAAATGCACATTATGAAATGAAACAGCTCTTAAAACATGGCGCTCAAACATGGAACAGTTGAATGAAGTGAGATGGGTGGATTTGAGTAGCTTTTAGGAAAACCTAATTGTTACAAACATTTACTGTTTGTACGAGACTGTGCACAGGATAGCAATACAGCAGAGCATTTAAAAAGCCGCTTTAAAATGAAAGAAAAACTGCAGTTAGATTAGTGTGTTCTTTAAATTAATCTTGGCCTCTGCATGTATTGATGGAATCCAAGTAGACCGAGCTAATCCCAAGATCTGTTCCAGAAAATGTTGTCCATGAATTAGGTTTCCCTTTTGATTTTCAGGTAATGTCATTTCCTCTTTCCTTTCTTTCGTGGGGGTGAGGGTGGGGAGCATCTTGCTTGTGTAAACTTATAACTTATTACAGTACTGGAGACCAATGCTCGTTGTACAAGATATTAAAATAAACTCTGCTACAACATAAAAACAATGTTTGCGTATTATAATCACATGGGGGGGGGGCTGGTGGGAGGAGCTGAAGTAGCAGCTTTGAGAGTGTTGAATTGGAGACATTTCATTGAGTTCAACTGGCCGAAAAGGTGAGGGCTCTTGTGACTGATTTCTGCTGTTGGATTTGCAGTGTGGTCATTTTCAAGAGAGAGAGAGAGAACTGATGATTGTGAAGAGTTTGTAACTCCACACGTATGTGCTTGTGCACTTTTTGAAACACAGGGGATCTCATGGGTGACTTTGACTCAGTTGGGAACACTGTCCCTAAGAGCCAGCAAGATATTGGTTCAAGTTTCATACAGGAACTGAGTTGATATTCATTGCTAAAACTGCATTGCGGTGCTGCACAGAGGGTTCTTTCTGCCACTCTGTGGCTCTTGGTGTGAAACATTTTGGGTATCTTTAGGGAAGCTGAATAATGCTTCCCTTCTTCATAAGGTGACTCAGAGCAGGGACCCTCAAACTTTTTTGCTGTGGTTCCTTTTGAAAGTATTTCAGGCTGTGATACTCCCCCAGAGTTACCATCTTTCAAATTCCCAAATAGAGGATACTACCAGGGTACAGGATGAGCTGGGGGATAAAGCAGCTATAGGTCTCCAGCCACCCAATAGGCAGCACTGTTGCCAGCAGCAACAGACTTAAGGGTAGCAATACCATGTCATGCCACCCTTACTTCTGCGCTGCTGTTGGTGGTGGCTCGGCCTTAAGAACTGGCAGGGGCAGCAGCCACTGCTCTCTGGCCCCTGTTGTCAAGGCAGTGCAGTTGTTCATATTTCAAAATCTATCTCGATGGCGATCAGAGGGCCAGAAAAGAGGGCAACCTGGACGCCTGGTCATTCTACTTTGAGATGACCAGTAAAAGGACAAAAGAGGAGGTCTATGGGTCCCTAGAATAGCCTCTTGGCCATCTTGTGGGTTGGGAGCTGCAGTCTGAGAAGTGCTGCTGTTGAGTGAATGGTGCTTTTGTTGTTAGTATTACAACAGCTGAACCAAGAGTTTTTGAGGCATTTTTGCCACCTTTAGCTCATCGCTCAAAGTTAAGAAAACCAGTTCCCTTTTCTGCTGAGTAGTGTGATTATGTAGCAAGAATTTGTGCCTTATTTTGTGCCAGAGGAGCAATCATCAAGGGGGCGTTTGCGACAGACATTTATCACCCTTCTTATGTTCTCATTTCCTTTCCAATCTTCTTCTGGACGATGGATTTAATTGCAAGTGCGTTAATTAGAAATGGGTTTTACGCTTATTACAGTTAAAATGCAGTGGCAGCAGAAATAAAAGTCCTAACTTTTTTTAAATACAATTTCTGTTGTGTGGGGGGAAATGCAATGCTGGCAGCAGGGATGAACTAGAACAATTTTGTCTCAAAACTGCTCCTAAAACTTTCTTCTTTTCTATTCCTGATTCATCTGACTTAACCTTGGATGTGATCCCCAAATCCATGTGTTTTAATTCCAATGGGTTATCTCAAATCAAATCTTATTTCTTTCTCCTCTTTTACTTTCTTGGATGTATGAATTCTAATAAGCTTTTCATAAACATGGAACACGTTATCTCAGATGACGTTAAAAACACTAGCTCACAATAATTACAACTGAAGCAAAATGCAGGACAATGTAGCACTTTAAAGACTAACAAGATGGTTTATTAGATGATGAGCTTTCGTGGGCCAGACCCACTTCCTCAGATCAAATAGTGGAAGAAAATAGTCACAACCATATATACCAAAGGATACAATTAAAAAAATGAACACACATTGAAAAGGACAAATCAAAGTGTCCGTCTGCTATGTACATTGGACAAACATCTCAGACACTTCGCCAAAGGATTAATGCCCACAAGTGGAGAGTGGGATGTTTGTGAGTTAATGGTACAGTTTCTTGCCATTTTAACCAGAAAGGACACTCTCTCAATGACTTAACCACCTGCATTCTGCTACAAAGACCTTTTACATCTGCACTTGAAAGGGAATCCTCTGAACTGTCATTCATGTTAAAATTCGACACTCTCCGGGAAGGAATGAACAAACACTCAAACTATCTTACCCATTACCAAGATAGCTTCCCCAATTATCACCTCTAATACCATTAGCTCACAGACATCCCACTCTCCCCACCTCTAATATCATCAATTCACAGACACTTACCTTCCTTCCTCCTCCCCCCCCCGCATCCCCCTCCTGTTCTGAAATGTGATTTGTCCTTTTCATATGTGTTCATTTTTTAATTGTGTCCTTTGGTATATATGGTTGTGACTATTTTCTTCCACTATTTGATCTGAGGAAGTGGGTCTGGCCCACGAAAGCTCATCACCTAATAAACCATCTTGTTAGTCTTTAAAGTGCTACATTGTCCTGCATTTTGCTTCAGCTACCCCAGACTAACATGGCTACATTTCTATCAATTATTACAACTGTTCTTTTTTACTTTCTATCCTAGAGTAAATAATTTCTTTCCAAATATTGTTGGACAAGGATTTATCATTTTCTTTTGCAACAGTTTTGGGAAATCCTCTGAGATCATTTGAACTGAAATGTGAGCTTTTCTAAATACTAGGGTTGTTAATACAGTCCGTCTGTTAAACACTAGTGCTTAACTGGTTAACTGTTTTAACCCAGGTTCCTCCATGGCTGTGGGGTCCTGTCGTCCGGTGGCCCCTCCATGGCTGGGGCTACTCTGGCTTGGTGTGGTTGACCACTGCTGAAGTTCACCAGCAAGGCGTTAACTGGTTAACATCCCTACTAATTACTGCCTGAGTGTTGGAAAGCTTTTGTCGAGCTGGAAGTAGGGGGCAGGTTAAGTGATCTTGGGACTGAGTGCTGTTTCCATGCTCTTGGAGTCAGAGGGGTAGAAGGCATTGCAAGGGTCATCTAGTTTAACTCTGTGCCCAGATGCAAGATGTGTTGTGGCAAAACAACCCAAGACAGGCGACTCTCCAAACTCCTTTTGAAAACCTGCTGAAAGAAGCCATTCTTATCTGGTTAAAATAGTCTAACCTCTGGAGCGTTGTGCTCCAGGGATACCCAGCGTTATGCGGTGCCTCCCCACCACTTGCCCTTGTCATGAAGAAGGCTTCTCTGTGCATCTGCGGATCAGCTTCCTGACACTACCAGCCTTTGGGAATACAAGCACCGCTCTCCAGGCCTCTGTCTCTGTACGGGTTAGTGAAAGGCACACGCCAGCTCCAAGTCCTTGCAATGTTATCCATGCAACACTGCTGGAATTACCAGGCCAGCTGTTCCCAAAGGAACTGTACACAAGCTTGTACGTCTAGCGCAGGATCATCTCTTTGCTTAACACCACAGCACTTAAACTACTTCTTCTTTTCACTATAAATATCTCTGTCATCAAAGAACAGACTCAGGCGATGGTAAGGTGTGACGTAGTGGGGGTACTTGCTGGGCTGTGGTGACCCCTGCTGTCTGGAGCAAGACCCAGCAGGGAAAACCTCGCTAGGCAGAGGTAATGCCAAACTTGTTGAACCAGTGGCCAGACACCCCCCATGGAGAGGAACAAAGGAAGGTGGAATGCTGCCCTGACTGGGGGGCAGGGCTGGAAGGGAATTTGGTTAGTTCTGTCGGAGAGCATGGAGGAGAGCCTAGGGGAAGGGGCTGGAGTTTAGGGGCCCAGTCTCCCCCATCTCAAGGGGGCCTGAGGCATCCTAGCCCAGCTCTGTGACCAGATTCCATCTGTGCTGTGCTGTATCCTGGAGAGGCAATAAACTTCCTCTATTCCACCGGCTGGTGCAGTCTGTTTGTGCCATTTCGGGGTGCAGGAGACGGGGGACCCCCAACGCGCCGTCACATAAGGAAACAGAAAACAAGTGATAACACAAAGCACAGTTGTAACTTGCTTTGTAGAGACTGAATGGCAAATCCTACTCCTGTGGAAAGGAAATGCTCGCTCTTCTTCCATGAAGTAAACTCACTGACCTTTTACTCCCCAGATGGAGGATGCCAGTGTATCTTTGCCCGCCCCCCCCCGCCCCACACACATGTGCCTGAGCCAGCCTTTGATGTGGCCTCATCTTCTCGCTCACTTTTCCTGTTAGATTCACAGAGAAAAAAAGTTTCCTAATTCTTCATTTAGCATTCAGTTCAGACGGATGAGAGGAGACATGCAATACTACATTTTCTTCTAAAATAGCCATCTAAATACACATTTGTTTGCCACAAAACCTGCCTTTTCACCTTTGCTGGTGACAAATCCCTTACCGTCATTCCTAGTGCGGCATGTAACTCCTTCTGCATCCTCCTTTTGCCAAGGTACTGGTGACCAGCGCGACTCCATTGGACATTTTTGGCAAACTCAAATCTATGGACCAGACTCAGGCGATTCCTATAACCCCTATGCAGCCCCTCTGTGGCCATTGCCAGGTGGCACTGAGAAGTTACAGTAGCTTACTGGTCCCAAAATTCACTGAGTAGGCTTATTTACACAAAATAGCACTGCTGGTACAATGGGGAGCAAGGATGTATTTGGGGCCTGAATGGGAGAGCACGTATTTCACTGCCCCAAAACCCCTTGGGCATCTTGAGAGCACAGCTGTGTGTGTGCTGCGCGTGGTGGTAAAGTGAGTGGCATCAGGATTTACACCACAGAGTAAGTGTATTTGGTGTATTCTGTCTGGTACCCATTTGGTCATGTCACGGCTTGCAGGTCTGCTGGGACACACCCAAATGGACTGAAGTATTAGGGAGTTTGTAGAGCTGCATTTTCAGAGACGGATGAAGAAAATTTCCTGCCTAACTGAAGCAAATGGCATATGGCTACTTGTGAAACCAAAGCTTAAAATCTCCCCCTTCAAAAATGAATGTATTTGATTCTTTATTAAAAAAAAAAGCTCTACGTACATATGCATCTGCCCACATGAATAGTGACTAGGAGGTGTTTTTTTATTGGGGGTGGAATGCTGTTCTCATCAAACCCATTTGAGTTCAGTTCGAACAGCAGAGGGCAGCAAGTTACTAAACATCAGAGAATGCTAAGAAGCCAGATCTGGGGGAAGGGAGGAAGAAACCATGAAGCATTCACCAAAACCAACCTCAAAGCAAAACCAGTGTAATGTGGCATGTACCGCTACACTTGTTCCTTCTCCACAATGACTTTTTTTTCTTCCTTTTACACTCTGGGTCGCAGAGAATGCTAACTTGACAATATGGTAAGTTACATACTTTTAGATGAATGTAGCATGAGAGTGGAGGTTAGAGCTAAATTATGGGGCTTTGTAGCCTGCTAAGTTATAGCTTTCTTTTGGTGGAGGAGTAGTGATAGAAATGTAGCCGTGTTAGTCTGGGGTAGTTGAAGCAAAATGCAGGACAATGTAGCACTTTAAAGACTAACAAGATGGTTTATTAGATGATGAGCTTTCGTGGGCCAGACCCACTTCCTCAGATCAAATAGTGGAAGAAAGTAGTCACAACCATATATACCAAAGGATACAATTAAAAAAAAGAACAAATATGAAAAGGACAAATCACATTGCAGAACAGAAGGAGGAGGCGGGGGGGTGGGAAGGGGGAGGAAGGAAGGTAAGTGTCTGTGAATTGATGATATTAGAGGTAGGGAGAGTGGGATGTTTGTGAGTTAATGGTATTACAGGTGATAATTGGGGAAACTGTCTTGATAATGGGTGATTGGTGGAGGGTTTAATTTTGTTTTACACCAGGAAAAATTAATACAAGTCACAATTCCCAATGCAGTGGCAGATGAAATATTAACTCAAGAGAATCAGGGTACTATGAAATCTGAAGTGGGGGAGTGGTTGCCTGTTAAATGTAAAGCTATTCTGCATCCTGGCTCTTGCTTTACCTTCACTTCTAAACATGTGTTCCTGGGAGGTGAGGTCTATTGACTGACAGATGAGGCTGCTGCAGTTCTAATGGTGTGCTACACAGCAGATCACATCATTTCTTTTTTGGGGGGGGGGTGTGTTTGTCTGAGCACGCTCTCCTTCCTCTCTGTCCATGCATGTGTTAATTATTCATTACTCTGGCACTAAGTGACAGCAGCAAACCAAGTAACTGCTTTGTTTTGAGCTTCTTTCCAGCAGGAGGCCGGTGGCTGGCTCTCCCAGGCACTACAGGGGCCAGGCCGGGCTGCTTTAAAAACAGAAGAGGGGAGAGCTGCCAGCGCCTGCAGGGGAGCTGGTATTCCTGGCCGGCTTTGTTGGGATACAGAATGGACCATGTCAACACATCTCCTTTTCAAATACAAGAGATTGGCTTCTCTTGCCTTTGTGGCAGTGGGTTTCAAAGCAGCGCGTGAGAGGTGGAGTGCTGTCTGCCATCTGCCAAAGGGGGAAGGGCGAGCGTTAGAGCGTGAGTCCATCTAACTTACTTTCCCAACTTATTCTATTACCTTGATTTTTAATCCACCGTAAAATCCTGCTTGTCTGACCCAGTGTAGCACAGGGTTAGCCATTTTGGCCAGTGTGGAAAGGTTGCTTGGGATGGATGTTGGTCTGTGGGAGGACTCGGTATAATACTTTCACTTCCCTTAACATTCATGACTCTTCTTCTAACGGAAGTGAGAGCAAAGGGCTGGTGTATGTGGGGAAGATGACCAGAACAAGCTATTCCGCTTCATGAATTAAGCCAAGCTGGAAAGGGCACTCTTATTTTGGAATAAGTGTCTCCACACGGCGAGCAATGCTGCAAGAACTAGTCTGGTCAGTTCCCCAGGTAGACAAGCTGTAGGTTCAGGCAAGAGGTGCAAGCGACTCTGCAGAAGGGAGTTGGTGGTTTGCCACACGCATGTTGCTGACGGGTGTCAGGAACAGTGACTTAGCAAGGCTCCAAGTGTGACGACGTTTTACTATCTAGAGCCTTGCAAGTTTTTCATCAGAAATGATAAGCGTGTGCGCTAGCATAAACAGGGCTCCGGCATTTTCACCACTGCTGTGAACTCCTGGGCAACGTGGTTTTAGAGGACAGCCGTAAGAGCCTGAACGCTGCCTGTTAGCACTTTCACCACTGCTGGAAAAATGCTACCCATTTTTCGAGTGTAGATGCAACCAGAGACCAACATATAGGATGCAGCAGTTTTCCTCAGAAGTTTCCCTCAGCTCTGGGTAGGCCAGGTATTCTTTTCTATCATGTATCTTTAAAAACGTATGTATCCGCATCAAAGGAATTAACAGCAGAAGATGAAAACTTTCAGTAAACTTGAAGCTGGTTCACAGGTTGTAAGGAAGTGCAAATACTTGGCTTTCAGTTAATGCAGGAATGTACGGTACTGTCCGTGCGCTCAGTGTTTGAAGTTCTGGGCTGTTACATGTACTGGTCTAACACATGGAGCGGGAAATGCAGCTCCCCAGTGTGTCACTTCCATATGTTCAGGGAGTGGGGTTTGCCATTCTTAGAAAAGTGGAAGTTTCATCCAGCAGAACCAGAGGATTCCTTGCATCTCTGAGCTGATTGCAGACCCCGACTCTTCCTCCTCCAGCCTTCGGCTGCCTTGCTGGGATAGGGGCTGTCCTGCTGACCGCTGGCCCCAAAGCTCCCTTGCCAACAGTGTGGTGAGGAAATGGTGGGTAGGTGAACATTAGAGGCAGCTGTATCTGCCTTGCAGAAGTTTCACATGGGTGGGGTGTTTTCACGGGGAGGGAAATGATGTCACTTCTGTGGCTATCCCCTCCCTGACCCACTTCCTCCTCATTTTACATTTCAAAGTGTGTTCTTGGGAAAAGGAAGGAAAGGTCCCACTAAAGTAGCACGCCCCTCGTCTGGGGCTTCCAGGCAGGGAGGGATCCACAGAGAGGCTGGGCCCCGCAAAGTGGCACACCTAGCCTTTTCACATCAATTGCTAAAGCAGATGTGGCTAAGCCCCTGACCAGCACACACCCCAGTGCAGCTGTGCTCCTAGAAGCTTGGTTTTGCTTTCCACTAAAGCCTAAATCTGACCTTCATCTGACCACCTCGTGGGACTCTGCTGCTTTTGTATGGTAAGGCTGATGGGGTAAAGGGTGAATCTAGTCTGAAAAGTGACTGTAAGCTGGTGGTGTGGGGCTCTGGGGGATCGTTTGCTCATTTCCAACCATGTTTTCCCCCACTGCAAACCCTGCTAACTCTCCTTGGATTTGGTGCTGCTTGTACGCTGTCAGTCAGTTTTAAACAGTTGTGTAGGTAAAATGCCATCAGTGACTGCCCATGCGTTCCCAGTGCCTGTGGCAGGTTACTGTGGAAAGGGAGTAAATTGCTCTAACAATGCACAAGAGGAGAGAGAGCTTGTTTTGTGCTCTGGGGTGCTGGGTTTGCCAGGCTGAGGAGAGTGAAAAGCAGCACATTGTTATTCAATGATTTACAGGTGATCACTCATTTGGTTAGGGGCGCCACAAGTGTAATCCAGAGGCACTCAGACCACTGAGTAAGGGGGAGAAAAGTCTGCGCTACAGCCTTAGCTAAGGGGCAGGTGGCTCTTAGCCCACACAGGGGAGGACCCCTAAGCCCTAGATTCAGTGCCACCTGTCTGTGTTACAGCTAAAACACTTTTCAGAAAAGAAATGCACTTTAAATTGGGAAGTAAAGAATGAATGACTTCTTCAAAGCACGGCCTCCAGCTCCTTTGGGCTGTAGCTTTTCCCAATAGCAAACAGCTCAGAAGACAGTAAGACAGATGACACTAAGCTGGGGGAGGTAGATACGATGGAGGGCAGGAATAGGGTCCAGAGTGACCTGGACAGATTAGAGGATTGGGCCACAAGAAATCTGATGAGGTTCAACAAGGACAAGTGCAGAGTGCTGCCCTTGGGCCGGAAGAATCCCAAGTATTGGTACAGGCTGGGGACCAACCAGTTAAGTAGAAGTTCAGAAGAAAAGGACCTGGGAGTTACAGTGGATGAGAAGCTGGATATGTGTCTCTGGTGTGCCCTTATAGCCAAGAAGGCTAATGGCATATTAGGTTGCATTAAGAGGAGCATTGCCAGCAGATCCAGAGATGTCATTATTCCCCTTTATTCAGCTCTGGTGAGGCCACATCTGGAGTATTGTGTCCAGTTCTGGGCCCCCCACTTCAAAAAGGATGTGCATGCATTGGAGAGGGTCCAGCGGAGGGCAACCAAAATGATGAGGGGGCTGGAGCACATGACCTATGAGGAGAGACTGAGGGATTTGGGTCTGTTTAGTCTGCAGAAGCGAAGAGCGAGGGGGGATTTGAGAGCAGCCTTCAACTTCCTGAAGGGAGGTTCCAAAGAGGATGGAGAGAGGCTGTTCTCAGTGGTGACAGATGGCAGAACAAGGAGCAATGGTCTCAAGTTGCGGTGGGAGAGGTCCAGGTTGGATATTAGGAAAAACTATTTCCCTAGGAGGGCGGTGAAGCACTGGGATGGGTTACCTAGGGAAGTAGTGGAGTCTCCATCCCTAGAGGTGTTTAAGTCTCGGCTTGACAAAGCCCTGGCTGGGTTGATTTTAGTTGGGATTGGTCCTGCCTAGAGCAGGGGGCTGGACTTGACGGCCTTCTGAGGTCTCTTCCAGCTCTATGGTTCTATGATTCTGACAGAACTATTGATCCATGAATTGTTGGAAACTCCAGAAGCAAAGCTGGACCCTGGAGCATTCTCTCCTGTCAACACCAAGATTTATTGTGTGAAAGAGGGAAAAACAAGGACACTAAGAAAGGTCACATGGGGTCAGTCTAGCCACATGTGAACAGACATGCAGTCCCAGTACAAGATGGCCCCTGCTAGAGGTCCTCCATTAGGCTGTACTGGTGAAGCAGGTCCTTAAAACTGGTCATAGATGTAAATTGCTGGAGCTGTCAGCCCAGATTTAGGGCACTTTGAATATTGGGGATCTGTGGAAGTTCTAGAACTGGAGCTGTCGGTAGCACAGAGCTCCACTCTAGGTAGGCGTTGGAATATTAGTGCAAGGAGGTTTGGCGCAAGGAGGAAGCACTATTGGATCTATGTTCACAGTGAGAAATCTGGCTGCAGCCAAGGGAAAAAAGATACTGGGAAGTTGCTGGCACACTGACTATATCAATAAATAAGTTTTCTTGCAGAGGGAATTAAGGTACCATGATCCTGTTCTTTATTAAGCTCCAGGTAAAGTGACATGCCCCTGCTCTTGCAAAGACTTACACACTTGCCCAACTGAACACACAGAACCCTCTTCAGGGTCAGGGACTTAACTCTTTAATTTTGGAGACTTGGGCTCCCATTTACCCGACAAGACAAACTGACAAGATTAAAAAAGAACAGGGTTGCAAATAAGGATCCTGAGACATTGAGTTGGAAGAGAGAACAGCACCAGAACTCGAGCTTAAAAGCAAACCGTTAGTGAGGTCCAGTTTGAAGTGTTTTCTCTTACCTAGCTAATGAACAACTTCTGGTTACATTTGTTTGTAGGGGAATATGATTTAGAGAATGGGTATTTAAACACATTTGAAAATTAATCATGGATCTGGCACCTGTGATGAAGTATTTCCAGCTTTGGGAAAATGGTGGAATGTTCGCTTCTTTCAAATAAAGATACATCTTTTCATAGTATTGCTGATATATGACCCATAAAACAGGGGTGTTGTTTTATCATGAGTAGAAGAGTATTAGATAAGTAATCTCCTTTGCTTATTGGCAAGGGCAGCAATTTTGCACCCCAAGAGAAGCTTACTGGTGAAATGTAAAGTGATGAGTTACTCTGCATAGTAAGAACAGTTATGCTATTTTTCCTCTGATAGTCAGCTCAAGACAGAAAAAGTTAAATACATAGCTTAATTACAGTAACATTTATTTGCATACATTGCCTGTACAGCATACGTCAGTCGGCCGTAAATAAAAATGTGATGTAGATAAGTTAGTTGGAGACTAACTTTTGATTTCCTTTTTCATTTGGATGTTTCAAAACATGCAAATACTGGTGAATATATATCATATAGAGTGGATGTTTTTGGACAGGAAAAGCTCTCCCTCTACAATAACTCAAAATTGCCAACTTTTGGTTGGATTTATTTTGGATCAGAATTAAGACTGGAAAGAATTGGTGATGGTAGTTTCCCAAGCTCTGTCTACGTCACAGACTTGCCTTCTCATGATGCTGAGATAAGATGATACGGTAAATGTGCGGATCTTCATAATAATTGTTCCTCTTTCTTGCAGGCTTGGCTTTCAGCAGTAAGTTAGTTAGTAATTCTGATATTAGCATGATCCATGTTGGGTCTCTGAGTGAGCGTCCGACTGAGGTAAATGAAGGTGTCAGATTTTCAGAGAAATTGCTAGAGGCTGTTGACAGACTCCAGCAGCTCTCACTCATCAAGTAACAGGTGGATCAGATACTGATGGTTTTCTTTATAAACATAAGGACTAGAAACATGCTATTTTAAAATG